AAAAATCCTTTGTCTTCATAGAGAACATTTATGTCTGAAAAATGTATAGCACTGCGATTCTAAATATTATTATTATAGATAATTTTCTTCTCCACAAGTTGTGATTGAAAAGTATGATGTAGCTTATACATCTTTCGTAAACCCTTTTCCAATCATCACCTCCCGTCTTAGAAGAACAAATCATAATTTTCAACTATCATCAAAGCACGTTTCCCCTTCTGTACTTATAGCAACGGCAAAAAATTTAATACTGAAACCCTATACCCCCAGTCCCCCAATCCTCTCTTAAAAACCCCATAAAAATGCATCTTCACGTGTAATCAGCCTGATATAATCTTTATGGGGGGACTCTTGAAACTTAATCTGATGCATTTAGATTTTTCAAGTTAGAACTGACCAAGGTTCATTGATAAGATTGGTTACTCTGGATGTACTCCAATGTACGAAAAATGTCGTTTCTTTAGCATAGATGGATAAATCTGCATATGACGTCACTGATTATAGAGGCGAGCGTGACGTCATATGCAGATTATATCTATCTATGCTAAGAAGACGACATTTCCCGTACATTGGAGCGCATCCAGAGTAACAAACCTTATTTCAGAACCTTGGAACTGAGCAACTATTAAATTTTATGACTTTTAACAATCAGGAACAATTGAAAAGTGTAAGAAATGTTGAGTCACAATTTACAAACCCTTTTATTCTTGGTGATTCATTTATTTGCGACAAAAATTAAAATAAAAAACTAGCAACAGTCCATATATTAAAGTTATTTACTCATACAGGTATATTGTATGATGTATAATGCATATTTATGTATATGCATGGTTAATTGCCTTACTCCAATATTTCTTTGAGTGTGTCTCAATCCACACACAACAATATCGAACTCTGTCCTGGTAGGTCTAAGTATAGTATGTATTGGCGCACAAAGCTTTCAAACATCTATACCCTCTACCAAACACTGGTGGGTCTATATGTGTATCTATCCACATACAAAGCTATTAATCTCTGTCCTCTCTACCGAATCCTGGTAGGTCTAAGTATAGTATGTATCGGCGCACAAAGCTTTCAAACATCTATACCCTCTACCAAACACTGGTGGGTCTATATGTGTATCTATCCACATACAAAGCTATTAATCTCTGTCCTCTCTACCGAATCCTGGTAGGTCTAAGTATAGTATGTATCGGCTTTCAAACATCTATACCCTCTACCAAACACTGGTGGGTCTATATGTGTATCTATCCACATACAAAGCTATTAATCTCTGTCCTCTCTACTGAACAATAGTAGGTCTTAGTATGTATTTTTCGACACACAAAGCTATAGAACTCTATACTCACTACCAAGCAATGGTATCTCTAACCGTATACTACCAGGGTCTATATTCAAATAACTATATTTAATTATAAGGTACAGATAAAGATTAAACTGACCGATAATACTGTCAGGTGATTAAAACGTAATATATATGCCGGTAGGTTCAGGTTTCAATGATATGGGGATGTTTACTATATTTAGTACATTCATGTTCTCCATAGCTGGCTGAACTGCTGTACCAAATTGGCTGAAATTTTATAAATGAACCTATGGGTATCCCGGGATGAGAAGGGCTTAAAGAAAAGTTGGAAATATTTGAAATATAACGGGCATCGTCTGGCACTTCAGCTAAAATTATGATGTGGTTCCAAGCGCGGGTAAATGGCAAAACTAACTATGAATAATAATAATAATAATAAGCATGGTAAAGCTAGTAATTATATAAAACAATATAAACAGCATACTTTATCTGCCTAAAATATTCAAATTGTCGTAACGTTCATTTACTAACAAAATTTCATTGTAAACATCAATTGTTCACATAGAGCCTTAAACGTACTTTAAAATCAACTGTAATTTTATTGCTAATTCTATGATGTTTTATAACTATGTAAAGATTTAACATCTGTAGATTTTATACCTTTAATTATGTTACAACACTCAGCTCTCACCTTTATTAGTGATGTCTCCCGTTTATAGATATAAAATCGTTCGAAGGATCCTGTACGATTTCGTTCGTTTGTTAACAGAACGAACGAATTTTCCGAAAGATTTTAAAAAAACAATAATTTTTTTACTAAATGAACGATTTTTTCAAAAAAAGAACTTTTAAAAAACGATAGTTTTTTTAATTTACAAACTACAAACATTTTTACTGAACAAACGATTTTACTGATTGAATGATAAGTTTGAGAACAAACTAAATAAATTTATATTTTAACGATTGAAAAAAACGAAATTGTTCATTCACGAACGATGAACAAACGAACTACAAAAAAAAACTAAGGCGCTCATCTCTACCTATAGATATGATTTTATCTACCTTCGTATACTATTCTAAGACAGCGGATATTTAACAAGTTATGTAATTTTGCGGACAGGCTTCACGGTTGTTAAAGCTAAGTGGATTCTAGATTATTAAAAAAAATTATCTCTGCACAGTGTATGTAAGGTTTTAATCTAACAAATGTCCATTCTGTCTATCGTTCATTCTTGAAAAATGAGTTGTACTTTTAAAAAGTTTGAACTGAAGTTCAGGGTCCAAAACAGAGAGAAGCCTCAGTGAATGGTGGGCCCTGGAGTAAGAAGAAATGAGATTTTTTATATCTTGTAAACTAACATTGCCTCCCAAAAGATGAGGGGCATCAATTGATCATTTCCAATTGATCAATTGAACATTTCCAAAATGTGGTCTGCCGTTTTTGTTCTTTAGAAATCGACTGAGATATTGAAAAATTATCAAAAAATTTAAAATATTTAATACGACTAAATATTGTTTAAATATCTAGTATCTCCAACAGTATAAAAGTGCAGACTGTTTACCATGAGAGAAAATGGACATGGGTCGGATTCTATAGGGATAAGAAGCGCATGCCGAAAATACAATTTTGTGACGTCATTTGTGGGTCGGAGGATGGCTAGTCAAGAATATGTACTTTTCAACCCTTTTCCAATCATCAATCAATCAAACATAAACCTTTTATGGGCATTAAATTAGTTTAACAATTTTGTATCCAAGTTTTCAAACTATATGGCCTTAAACTATTTGATATTAGAACACGCTGCTTCATCACGTTTTAGTATTTTTCAAAAGGGAAATCATGTTTTTCTTCTAAAGGGACTGTAATCTTAATTTTAAATGACTCTCCATACAAAGATGGCAATAACTGATTCACAACGATACCCTTCAAGCTTTATTTGATCAAGTTTGAACTATATTTATAATTTTGAAAACTGATTATTTTCTGCAGAAACACATTAACGAATTCTCAGAATCAATTCTAAACATAAAAATACGACAATATCTCCCACATTATAGATAAAAATCTTTTTTCAAGATTACCGTTGTGAATCGGGCATTGCCATCAGTGGCGCAACTAGCACTCTTGTGAGGGGNGGGGTACCGAGGGGGTTAACCTGCTGTAAAAATATTTTTTCAAAAAAGAAAACCCTGCTTTCAGGATTTGAAGTAAAAAACAACCATTTTTTTTACTGTTGAAGAGTTGGCTCTGTGCACTCAATAATATAGCAAATTCTTATAACAATCATGATTGGTTCTTTTTGAAAAAAATATACGTCCAACAGCTTTACAATGAACGACATCAGTAAATTAATCAAACATGTGCGCGAAGCGCCAAAAAAAATCTGCTCTTCTAGTGTCTTTTCATGTATTTCTTAGTGCATGTTAGTCCCTGGCTTAATCATACACTATGTATATAAAGTCCCTATTACAGTCTACAGTTTATTTTACAGTTTTTCGTAATTCATCTACTAGTCATATATGTCCATTATATAGTCCCTTAATCATAATTTTATTAGAAATGCTCGAAGCGCTAAAATGTTTTTTTTTTTCTTAGTTGGAAACATTTGATAAAAGAAGGTCCAGAATCATGATTATGCTGCAGGAGTCAAGTGAGAGGGGGGGGGGGCAAGAGGGGGGCGAAATATGCTGAGTGGTTGGGGGGCGGAACTCAGTTCGCCCCCCCCCCCTCCTAGTTGCGTTAATGATTGCCATCTATGCATGAGAGTCACTTGAAATTACGCTGACAGTCCCTTTAAAAGGGAAATTTTAAAAATATAGTGAACAGTCCCTTTATAGGGGTAACTTAAAAAATATAGTGAACGATATTGACAAAAATCGACAAAACAAAAAAGATGATTAAATCATTTTAATTCTAACGAACAAAATTAGTTTATTTAAATTAAAACTTAAGAATTATTTAAATCTTTCAATTGAGCTGCGACGAAGCAAATAATCACTTTACAATAAGCTGAAACAAGAAGTTGACCGTACAGTACAATTTTATATTGTACATAGATCATTTTATACACTCGGCCCTGCAGTCTGCAGTCAACTTGTGCTAAAACTACGTTTAAATTAAATCAAATCTATTCACACTTACGGCACTCTCTGTATAATCCAAGTAATTCAGTTGATTTTATACCTTTAATTATGTTACAACACTCAGCTCTCACCTTTATTAGTGATGTCTCCCGTTTATAGATATAAAATCGTTCGAAGGATCCTGTACGATTTCGTTCGTTTGTTAACAGAACGAACGAATTTTCCGAAAGATTTTAAAAAAACAATAATTTATTTACTAAATGAACGATTTTTTCAAAAAAAGAACTTTTAAAAAACGATAGTTTTTTTAATTTACAAACTACAAACATTTTTACTGAACAAACGATTTTANCCCTGAACCTTACTCCCTATTAGCCTTATATTATTTAGCCCCAAATCCACTTTACTCTACAACATTACGTTGGTCCTGCAAACCTGGCAAGCCGGGCCCCCTCATCATATACTTGAATGAAAAGCGTAAAAGAGCGTATATTCCCGCCTGGAATGCGTCAAATGAGCGTAACCTGATGTGTATCTTGGAGTGGGCGAATAATCCCCAGGCGTCAACAGCGTTCCTTCCTTCCGACGCTTGCATTGACGCAGATTGTACGCCAGAACTTCAGTAGTTACTGCACCGGGCTCCACGTTGTACGCAATTTATTTGGGCATTAAAACAAAACAACTTGGAATAATTTCAATCAGGTATCTATTCAATTTATATTAATTTTTTGAAAATTAAATAAAAAGTTGTTTTATTTTTGATGATTTCATTTTATTTTCAGGACCCACAAAAATTTCAAACGTTATAAAAAAAAATTTGCTAAAAACTAAGAAAATTAAATCATTTGACATTTGTTGAAAGAAAAATATTATTTGTTAAGATGTAAAAAAAACTTTAAACACTTTCTCTTTTCGCATTACTTTTATTTTTATTTTTTTCCATTTCGGAGTAAAAAGTATTTGGAACCTATCCCTTTAAGTTCGTAATTTTTAAATCAAATCAAAATTCTGTACACAAATAAAAACATACAATATCAAAAATTGTTCTAATTATTATACGGAAGTTTAACAAACAAAATAAAATCACAAATGCATCAAAACTAATTCAACGCTTTCATAGAAAAATTTGAAGAAACATCTGAACAACAATAAGTATTTAGATGCACTTTAAAATTTTATATATATAAATACAGATTTTATAAGGATATAAACACCCTGTTTATATTTAACCTTGTAACCTGGGTTCCCTTAGGGCAACAGTTCTAGGGATACTGGTCAAACCGATAGATAGATAGATAGATAGATAGATAGATAGATAGATAGATAGATAGATAGATAGATAGATAAATATAATTTTGATAGTTTAGATATATAGATACAATTTTGATATTTTAGATTTTTTCAGAATGTTTAAAACATATTTTTGATTATGAAGGAATTCATAGTTTGAAATATCTAAGGTCTATGACATTGGGCTGCGAAGATAAAGGGATTAGAAAATTAGAGTTTGTGACAAAGACTAAATTCCTTTGTAATAAAAGTAAACCAATAACTGAAATGTTTTACACAAATTGAAAAACATGAATTTTAACGGTTACAGATCATTTTAATTTGATGATAATTTGAAATTAAAACCAATTACAGTTAAATCGCTGTATATGTATGTACACGCAATGTTCATTTCCAGAAACATTTAAAATCTTACTGAAATTTAAATTAATATGGGGGGGGGGAGGACCAGTTTAAATGATATAAATTGTAAAATTAAAGATTAATTTTTAAGCAAATATGAATTAAGATGGCATCAAAATTTGCAGTTGACCTTAAAACTCTTACCGGGTTTTTTTTATTATATAAGATGCTTATAAATTTGTTTAAGAATGGCATTTGATTTCAATTTGATTCTTAACTGTATATTTATTTTTATCCCTTTTACACAAATTATTTCAATAAAACAGGTATTTAAAAAAGATTAAAATAGAATTATGTTCATAAAGAATTTGTCTCGATATTGTTTTGATAACGGTATCTATACTTTATATATTGACACCTCACCTACATTAAGTAGATCCTGTTTGCAACGGAAATTGTGTCAAGATTTAAAGCAATTTAGCCCCCCCCCCTTTNCTGCAGGGTTTTAGCAAAAATGTTGAATGAATGATTGTTGTTAATCTGGTTCCGTGATCCTGATGGGGGGGGGGCTTGTTTTATGGGGAGGAAGAGAGGGAGGGGCTTGTTTATGGGGAGGGAAGATGGTCAAAAGAATGACACTATAGTTTAACTAGGCATCTTATATTTTTACAAGATTAAACATGAAAACTTAGTATTTGTCTGTTTAGGAAAGCGCTTGTATAACCTTACAATGCTATTGTGCAAGATATTAGTGTCATTAAGCCAAAGGGCTTCTGGTATATTCTCTAATAATAGGATCAAATGGTTCAAACTTCCGTACTCCGATTAGCTTGGGAACTATATTCCTACCAATAACCTTCTTAAGATTTAAGTATATCTGTAATATCGACGGAATTCAGATCTGCTTAAAGGGACTGCATGCGTAATTTCAAGTGACCTAACAGTGACCTGACAAGATTCACAACAGAACCCTTGAACGGTTCAAGGGTTCTGTTGTGAATCTTGTCAGGTCACTGTTAGGTAGTTGAAAGCTTTGTCTGATCTCGACAAAAGTGACGCATTTTCACTGAAATAAATATAGGGGTTATCAGAAATAATCAGTTTTAAATCTAGAAAAACAACATTATCGTCCACATTATTGAACAGATAATGGTTTCAAGGGAACCGCTGTGAATCTTTGCATGGAGGATTTCTTGAAATTACGCTTAGGGTCCCTTTATAAGTCTGCCCACCTGCTATTTGCTCAGGAATGACATGCCAAACTATGGAAACTTGAATTTATGATTTAAATCTTATATTTCCAATTATAAATCCTCTTTATAAGGAGCTATTGCATATTGAGAGGAACAAACACTTTTTGTATTTTTAATATGAAGCCGGTTAAATTTGATTTTCTTTTACTTGTGTATAAAATTAGTTGAACCTAAAATGGGTAGAATTAGTTGAACCTAAAAAGAGTAGAATGAGTTGAACCTAAAAAGAGTAGAATTAGTTGAACCTAAAAAGAGTAGAATGAGTTGAACCTAAAATGAGTAGAATTAGTTGAACCTAAAATGAGTAGAATTAGTTGAACCTAAGATGGGTAGAATTAGTTGAACTTAAAATGAGTAGAATTAGTTGAACCTAAAAAGAGTAAAATTAGTAGAACCTAAAAGGAGTAAAATGAGTTGAACTTAAAATGAGCAGAATTAGTTGAACTTAAAATGAGTAGAATTAGTTTAACCTAAAAAGAGTAGAATTAGTAGACCCTAAAATGAGTTTAACCTAAAAAGAGTAAAATTAGTTGAACCTAAAATGGGTAGAACTAGTTAAACCTAAAATTGGTAGAATTATTGGAACTTAAAATGAGTAGAATTAGTTGAACCTAAAATGAGTAAAATGAGTTGAACTTAAAATGAGTAGAATTAGTTGAACTTAAAATGAATAGAATTAGTTGAACATAAAAAGAGTAGAATTAGTTGAACCTAAAATGAGTAAAATGAGTTGAACTTAAAATGAGTAGAATTAGTTGAACCTAAAATGGGTAGAATTAGTTGAACTTAAAATGGGTAGAATTAGTTGAACCTAAAATGGGTAAAATTAGTTGAGCCTAAAATGGGTAGAATTAGTTGAATCTAAAATGGGTAGAATTAGGTGAACTTAAAATGAGTAGAATTAGTTGAACTTAAAATGAGTAGAATTAGTTGAACTTAAAATGAGTAGAATCAGTTGAACCTATAAAGAGTAGAATAAGTTGAACCTGAAATGAGTAGAATTAGTTGAACCTAAAAAGAGTAGAATTAGTTGAACCTAAAATGGGTAGAATTAGTTGAACCTAAAATGGATTAAATCTGTAAAATGTGAGAATAAGCGTAGGAGTAGAGAATGGGCAGTTACTTGACCTTGTGTATGCACAGACGCATTTCTATTCGCAGAGTCGGTATATACGCCATTACTGCTGCTTACATACGCTCTTGCAAACTGCACACGCAATTTTCCCAGACGTACTCTAAACCCCTTATTCTGTAGTGAAAATAATTTTATGGTGGGACCCATAATTCCGTGGAATAGGAAGACGACTTTACAACTCAAGTTACGATTTTAGGTGCACTTGATGTTTCAAAACAAATAGCTGTACTAGTAAGTCGTCTAAAAGTAGTCTTCCTATTCAAGAGTTTTTTGGTTCTCATGCTGTACACAAACTCTTTTAAGTAGCTTGATTATCTAGATTATCTAGATTATCTAGATTATCTAACCACCTGGAAAACTTTTTTCTAATGAAACAACATAAAATGCAAATCAGATGGATTAATTAAAGTCTTCCTTTTCCATAGTTTTATGGGTCTCACTGTGCCAAAATAAATAATGAATAGTTTAGATTAAATTTCTTCTTGAAATAACTCATTGTGCAGTTGTTGTTCTTATAAGGAAGTGTTGCAGTGTCATATTCGCAGTGTGTGCAAAATATTTGCAAATATTGTGTCATTATGTGCAAATGTATCCCAATATGTATGCCATAGTATGCAAAATATTGCACTTTATACCGGACGAAGTTTGTTTTCTTAAAATGTAATTTGTGTCCTAAAGGTAAATGTCAATTTCTCTATGGTATTTGAACAGATAACAATTTCCCCCATCTACAACTTCTCAAGAAGCAAATTCTCAAATGTCCGAACCGCAGGGCTCAACCTTTTCATTCAAAGATTATGAATAAAAATGCCGCTTGGGAATATATAGCTTTGGAATTCTGCCTTTGGAAAAGTTCTCATAACATTCTTTTAGGATGAGATTGATACTGAGTTCCCTTCTGCTACTGGGAGTTTTGGGATGTTCTCTTGGACAGCAGCATCATGGACCCCGTCCAAGACTAGCTGCTCGACCAGCTGCAGCAAAAAGGGCAGTTCTTAGACCAAGGGCGAGCAATCTGCGTCAGCAGAAACCAAGACAAGAAGATTTCTTACAGGAATGTCCATTTTCTATAAAATTTAAGTTTTTGCTATTGAAATTTTTTAAAGTTTTTTCTTTCCTGAACTTTTTTTTGTGACCATTTTTTAAAATTGGACTATCACATAGGCCAGTCGAAGAACTATTGTTGAGCTGCTTGATGCTGAGATAACTATTCTTGAAGCTATTGCTGGAACTACTGTTGAGGAGGCACAAGCTGAAGAAGCTGCTGCAGCTCAAGGAAAAAGGCCACAAGGTGCTGTTCGTAGACCTGCCCCTACACACACCAGACGTCCTTCCTCTCATGCTCATGCACACCAAGCTCAACGACCTCATGCTTCTGCCCATCAGGCGCCAAGACCACACTCTCCCAAGCCTCATGCACACAGGCCTCATGCTCCTGCACCTCATCCTCCCCACCCTGCACCTACTCATTATCACAAGCAGAACACAGTACTTCTGGATCCATTTGTAATGCTAGACTCCCCTGATCTATCAAAGAAGCCCTATGAATCAAAGCCTACCTCTGACTATTCAGCACCTGCTGTCAAAGAATCAAATTCTGCCCCGGAGAAACCTCTACCCACCTATGGAGCTTATGAGTTGGTTCACTCTGGAACCGTGTCACCTTATACTTCTGCACCTACCCCAGTTTATGCTGCACCAACCCCCTCATATTCTGTACCTGCTCCTGCTCCTGCTTATGAAGCTCCTGCCCCCTCATATTCTGCTCCTGCTCCTTCTTATGAATCGCCTGCTCCTTCTTATGAATCGCCTGCTCCAGCTTATTCTTCACCAGAACAAGAATATGGAGCCCCCAGTTATGAAGCCCCAGCTCCTGCTCCAGCTTATGAAGCACCTAATCCTGCCTACTTTTCTCCTGAGCCTACTTATGGAGCCCCCTCTTATGAAACTCCAGCGCCTGCTCCAGCTTATGAAGCACCAGCTCCAGTCCCCTCTTACAATTCCCCAGCACCAGCTCCAGCTTATGAAGCTCCTGTTCCAGCCTACTCTGCTCCTCAGCCAAGCTATGGAGCTCCAGCTTATTCCGCACCAGAACCCACTTATGAAGCCCCCTCTTATGATGCCCCAGCCCCTGCTCCAGCTTATGAAGCGCCTGCTCCAGCCTACTCTGCTCCTCAGCCAAGCTATGGAGCACCAGCTTATTCTGCACCAGAACCTACTTCTGGAGCACCTTCTTATGATGCGCCTGCTCCTGCTCCTGCTTACGAAGCTCCTGCCCCCGCCTATGCTTCTCCAACACCTGCTTATGCTCCCCCTACTCCTGCCTATGCTGCTCCTACCCCTGCCTATGCTTCTTCTGTTGATCTATATGGCGCCCCTGCACCAGCTTATGCTGCTCCTGAACCAGCCTATGCTGCTCCTGAACCAGCCTATACTGCTCCTGAACCTGCTTATGCTGCTCCTGAACCAGCTTACGCTGCCCCTACTTCTGTTGATCAGTATGGAACTCCAGAACCGGTATATGAACAGGTTCCAGTGTACACACCACGAGCAAACAATTATCAAAACACATTTTTCGCCAGTAAGAATGTGGACCTTAAGACATCTGCGAGTACTACAGGTTAATTGCAGATCATAGAAACAGTTTTTTAGATTTTATTCTTGTGTTTAAAAGGGGGGGGGGGCGGTTGGAACCTATTGAATAAGTAAGATAATAAGAGGGGGGGGGGAGGGTCAGGGTATCAAGATTGGTGTGTGGTCATCTATTTAGAAGTGATTGTTCTGGTATTTTAGACTCATTCTTTCACGGCTCCGACATTCTTTACCAACTTTTAGACATAAAAGAAATAACTTCCGGCTGTAGACTATTGTAGTCTGAAAAGTTGTCTGATTTGACAATATCAGACATTTTTAAACACACCACAGGTTTTATAACACGCTATGGTTGTTCTTTTACTTTTTTGTACATCTGATCCAAGTTTTTACTGGAATTATATCTACCAAAAATGATATAAACAATAATGGCAACATGCATCCAAAAATGTCCAAAAAGTATTTGGAAAAAACTCAGAATTGTTTGCACTAAAGATGAAATATGTACTGCAAATTATTTTTAAGGAAATCAAGTCATGACTTTTTGTCAAAGATTTGATTTCTTTGTGTTTTTCAATCCTATGACCTTTTTTAAAGACTTCAGTTTGCAAAAAAATATATTGACTGGAGAGAATTTCAATTTCAATTTTTTTTATTTCAAGAACTTTTTTAAACACTTTTTCCCCTTGACTTCATTAGATGGATTCACAATGGTGTGCAGGTCTTTGAAATACAAAAATCTACGAATTTTTTAGTAAACTTGTTTAATATTATTTTAGTAACTTACAGTTTGCTTCAGAATTAAAGTGTTGTATCTAAATACCGGTAATGATTGTCAGAAAAAAATTCTGCTGAGAAATCAAAAGTCTCGGTTTGGATTATTTGAATTATTTTTCTCTTGATAATTAACTTTCTTACCGCAAGGTGGTGCCCTTGCATGCATTGATTTACCCTAAAAATTCGCTTAAAGGGACTGTAAGAGTAATTTCAAGTGACCCTTTGTGCAAAGATGCCAATGCTTGATTTACAACGGTACCCTTCAAAGCTTTGTCTGATCAAGTATGAAATATATATCAATGTTTTGTTCCTGTTTATTTTCATTTGCGGTTTCTCTACGAAAGTGATTTGCTCATTTCTTGTTTATTAGAAGCAATGGAGAAGTTGACAGAAATAAACATTTGAGTAAGAAAAACGACGGACTCTTCCACATTTTTGGTCAGATTATGGTTTCAAGGGTACCGTTGTAAATCGGACATTGTCATCTTTGCATGAAGGGTCACTTAAAGTTACGCTTTCAGTCCCTTTAACACGCTACACGTATAATGCATCTAAGATGCCAACTAATTTCAATTTCTTGTGTCCTTAATTCCAGCATTGCGTGGGCTCATTTAAATACCATTCAACACTCAGGGGGGAGCTAGTAAAGATAGAAATACAGCGTTTAAAGTTTAAGGGAGTGTTCAATAAAAACAAATGGTGGCAGAACATATTATAATCTTATCAAATTATTTTTTGTGAACATTTTATTCGATATGTGAGAGGGGGGCATTATTTTCAAAATGAGATATAGCTGAATTTACTAAAAAGGGAAGACCTTTATTATATCAAATGTTGAGGATTTTGAAACACTCGATCTGCACTGAAAGTTGAGGTTGAAAACGAGGCTGATGGCCCACTGTTCAGATCTGCTTTGAGAAAACTAGTTACTACACCACCTCCATCAATTTCAGGAAAATAGAAAGAAAAAACTATTTAATTTTTTAATTTTCTTGTTTAAAATTGTGATATCCAGTTCATTTCTTGTACAGTGTACAAGAGTCCTACAAAATACACTGATAGAGTATAGAAAATGTGGTAATTGTATTAGGTTTGAAGCTTTTGTTTAGAAATAACCTTAATGCTCGTACAGTCTCTAAAAACACCCCTCTTAAGGAGGGACATAGAGAAGCCCAATTGTTAAGGGTTAAAAAATCTGTAAAATCAAATGAATACAATTACTGAACTTGTCCTATCTGAGAAAATAAGTATTTTTCATTGTTTTTAGCATTGTTTATTAATATTTTATTTAAACAAACAATAGATGATTTTACCCCCGGTGAGAGATATTTGACCACTTACACACGGCTATAATTGTTTAATTATTTTTACCAACTTTTAATTTTGAAATTTAATGTTTAATTATGTATTCCAGAAAACATGTTTTGGTTGGAATTGTTAATATTTATGAAGTATATTTGCCCTGTTGATGTATATCGGACCCGGGGCCCGGGGGCGTTTAAAATCTAATCATTATTCAAGGTTATTGCCTATTTCAAGGGTATATATATATATATACAGTCATTCATTTAATATATTCGGACTCTATTTCAGAGCAAATAAAATATGTTTTATTGCTCTCGTAGCAGGGGCATAATTCGTCTACATTGACCCTTCACCCCCCCCCCACCCCTTATTTTTTGAAGTAAATAACTCTGAAAAGTTTTTTCTTCTCAACATATTTTTGATTAAAATCATAAAATTGATATATTTTTAAACCGTCATTTCTCATTTTTACTTGCCACAGATTGTCAAATTTTCGTTAAATTGTTACCATAGCCTTAAACAAATTCTAATTTTTTAATCCCAATATCTTTGCAAATTAATGGAGTAAACCTTTGATAATTTAGACTTAGTTTAGCTAACATGATTCATAGTTTGATATATCTAAGGTCTACAACATTAGGTTGAAAAGATAAAATGATTAAAAAACAGAGTTTGTGGCAATTATTATTGTTTAGTTCCGTTCCTTAAAAGTGTAATTTCAGATTTGTTAAGCTTTGCGAATTTTTGTGATGATTATGTTCAGTTTCTTATTGTTGAACCATGTGCAAAATTTATGTGCTATTATTCATTTTGAAATGACAGGGTTATTCATTAAACATTGGATTACAGTAATCTAATCCCATGATTTTGAATAACCCTGTTTCACTTGTCTCATATGTGTGTACAGTATTTATTTATTATCCTATGTATCCAATTATTGTTACGTCGATACCTCAGATATAAAAATACAAACATCGTAGAAATAACAAAACATAAAATCTAGATAAAATCTTTAACACAGAGATAGACTTGAATGTTAATGATACAGAGCTAGAATGCTAATGATACAGAGCTAGAATGTTAATGATAAACAGCTGGAATGTTATTGATACAGAGCTAGAATGTTATTGATACAGAGCTAGAATGTTATTGATGCAGAGCTAGAATGTTATTGATACAGAGCTAGAATGTTATTGATACAGAACTAGAATGTTAATGATACAGAGCTAGAATGTTAGCGATACAGAACTACAATGTTAACGATACAGAGCTAGAATGTTAATGATACAGAGCTAGAATGTTAATACATAGCTAGAATGTTAATGATACAGAGCTAGAATGTTAATACAGAGCTAGAATGTTATTGATTGTGATTAGTCTGATATTTCTGTTGGTTTTTACTTTAACAGAAATATAAAGAAGATATAAAAAAGATACTGTAATGACCCTAGGATTTCGACAGAGAATGTTAATGATACAGAGCTAGAATGTTAATGATACAGAGCTAGAATGTTAATGATACAGAGCTAGAATGTTAATGATACAGAGCTAGAATTTTAATGATACAGAGCTAGAATGTTAATACAGAGCTAGAACGTTAATGATACAGAGCTATGATGTTAATGATACAGAGCTAGAATGTTAATAATAAATAGTTTTAAATTTTGTGAAAAAACCAATGAGGTCCTCCTATCTTTAGGAGAATAGGATATGATAAAAAAATGAGTTGACCCAGCCCGTCCTACTATATGATTCGGTGGATCCGCATTCCCAAGTAACAATTTTCGACAGCTATTCCGAGGAATTTCTCGTAACCCATTCCAAGGAATTTCTTGTAACCCATTCCGAGGAAATTCTCATAACTCTATCCAAGGAATTTCTTGTAACCAATTCCATGGAATTTCTTGTTACCAATTCTACAGAAAAAAACTGGAGAAAATGTCGACAAAATTTGTGGAAATTCTTGGGAATTTTCAGCGAAAAGTTCTTCAGAACCAATTCCTGGGAACTATTCCCAAGAGTTCCTCAGGAATATCTTGAAATATTCTCAGCATATTCCTGAGTAAATTCACTAACCAGGACTTAGGCCCAATAATAGTGAATAACTTAACAACTATATTGCCCCTCCAACTTTTTAGAAGCATAACCATCTTCTCAATCAGAATGTTATAGTGATATTTGATCTTACTGAAGTTTCATGTATTTTGTTTATTCATACAACTGAATTGTCAAGAAAAATGAAAAAAAATGAAAAATATATTTTTTAAAAAGATGGTTCTAAAGTGAATTATAATTTTTTATCAATAAGGATGCAAAGAAAAAAAGATTTAGTTAGGGCAGTGCATAATAGAAGAGATCCTCAGAGACACCTATTGGAGAAAAACAGAACTTGAAAATTCTGTGATGAAGTCCAGAGAATTTCTCCGGAATTTCCGGAAAAATATTCCTGAGAAATTCTTAGGAATTTCTGGAGAAAAAATCCAGAGAAATTCTCAGGAATTTCTTGAAACTTATTCTCTTACTTAATTCCGCTAAAAATCCGTAAACTTTGTCACCAAGCCTAAGAATTTCTCAGGCATTTCCGGAGAAGCATTCAGGGGAATTTCTTGGGGTGAAAGTCTGGAGAAATTCCCAGGAATTTCTCAAAACCAATTCTCTTATTAAATTCCCCTTAAAATCCGTAAACATGGTGACCAAGTCCTAAGAATTTCACAGGATTTCCGTAGAAGTATTCCAAAGAAATTCTTAGGAATTTCGTGTGAAAAATTCCAGAGAAATTCTCAGGCATTTCTCAAAACTTATTCTCCTAAATTTAATTCCCCTAAAAATCCGTAAACTTAGTGACCAAGTCCTAAGAATTCCTCATGAATTTCCGGAGAAGCATTCAGGAGAATTTCTCACGAATTTCTTGGGGTAAAAGTCCAGAGAAATTCCCAGGAATTTTTCGAAATTATTTCTCTTATTTAATTCCCCTTAAAATCCGTAAACATGGTGACCTAAGAATTTCTCAGGAATTTCTGGAGAAGTATTCCGGAGAAATTCTGAGGAATTTCGTGGGGAAAAATTCCGAAGAATTCCTCAGGAATTTCTTGAAACGAAGTCTCAAAACTGTGATTCCACACAAATCTCTCATCTTGGGGACAAATTCCTCGGAAATTCTTCAAAGGAAGTCACCACGGTTGGAGAATCTGGGGAAATTCCTCACTTTTGCTAGTTGGGTTTGAACTACTGCCATTTGAAACATTGATAATTTGAACTTTTGTTCATTCTAACTATTCATAATGACGTCATTTCCTGTAGTTTATTCAACACTTGATTTCCTCATTTGAACTATTTAAAAAAGCAGTTTAAATACTTCATGAAAAAATATGGTCAAACAATCATACAAATTGATCAAAAAAATAAAATTTACATGGACATAGAAATAGTTGAAATGAACAAAATAATAGTTTAAATAAACCAAAAAATAGTTCAAATAAGCCAAAAAATAGTTCAAATAAACCAAAAAATAGTTCAAATGAAATAGTTCAAATGAAGCATACAATAGTTCAAAAAAGTAAAAAAATTGTTCAAATAAGACAAAAAAAAAATTTCAATGAGCAAAATATATTTCAAATGAGCAAAAAAATAGTTCAAATAGCAAAAATATAGTTCAAATGAGCACGAAAATAGATCAAAGGAGCAAAAAATTAGCAAAAACACAGTTCAAATGAGCCAAAAAATAGTTCAAATGAGCAAAAAAATACTTCAAAGGAACCAAAAAAAGTAAATAATGAACAAAAAATAGTTCAAACGGAAAATTTCAGGTGAACGAAAATAGTTCAAATAAACAAAATTGTAGTGATAGCTGGTATTTGGGGCCAAGCGCTGCGGTTAGGACAGGGTGCTTCTCTTTTGTTCAGTTGAACTATCTTGTTGCTATTTTTAGAATAATTTTTGTGTCTTTAGATTATTTCATTTGAATTTTTTTTGTCATTTGAACTATTTTTTTTTGTTCATTCAAACTATTTTTTTGAATTAATTTGAGTAAAACAACTACATTAAATTCAGGATTTACAAATAAGATAAAATTCTTAGTAACTATTTTTCTGCTTATTTGGACTATTTTTTTTTGGCTTATTTGAACTATTTTTTGGTTCATTTGAACTATTTTTTACTCATAATAACTTTTTTCGGTTCATTTGAACTATTTTTTGGTCAATTTGAACAAATTTTTGGTTCACTTGAACAATGGTTTTGATCTTTTGAACAATTTTTTTTGCTCATTTGAGCTCCCTTCTAACCCAAAAACCTAAAAATACTAAAGCCTCTATGTATACGTATTTTTAGGATATACGTACAAATTTGTATGCTCAATTTTTGGTAAAGAACTTGCGTGTATATTTACGTATTTGTCATACCAAGCGGTTCTCCAGAAACATATTTTTACGAATAATTGTGTTGTGGAAGACGATGCCTGGCCGCGTTAAACAAGTTCCACAAGATTCAACAGAATGAGATAGAACGGATGTGGGGCATAGTACTGATAAACATCTACACGTGTGATATCGAGATTGACTCTAGTTCTGAACCCTCTAGTAATAAGTTATAAGAAATATATATACTGGAAGTTATTTATGCGTTTTTATTAGAGTCTGACTCACGTCCTCTATATTGGTGACCCCCGACTTTGAACATAAAGTTAAACGCTATCCAGTTTCGTGATTTTCTTGAACTTTGAACATTAAGTGATACATCCGAGCATCATGACCGACCGGAAAGAAACTCCAACTGAGTTCATCACCAAAGTCTCCGTCAAGCTCCCGGATTTCTGGACAGAGGACCCCGACCTGTGATTCCTTCAAGCAGAGGCGGCCTTCAGAAACGCCCAAATCACACAGTCAAAAACCAAATTCGACCACATCATACAGAAACTTCCCCAAAAGATTATGGTCTCGGTACGCGGCCTGATCATGGGTTCTGCTGCCTCCTCAGAAACCCCTTATGAGGATTTAAAGGCCAAGCTTGTCTCCTCGTATACTCTATCACGCTGGCAGAAGGTTTCCAAACTAATTCATCACCCTGGGCTGGGAGACCGATGCCCTACTGCTCTCATGGACGCCATGTTGGCCCTTCTCCCAGAGGACGAGAAACCAGGTTGCCTGTTCAAAGGTTTATTTCTGGAGAGGTTGCCTGTCGAGATGAGGGACCATCTAGTCTCCAGAGAATTCAAAAACCCTAGTGAAATGGCGTTATACGCCAATAGTTTGTGGGAGGCCAGGAAAGCTAAACCTACTGACCACCTCCTAGCCGCAGCGTCGACCTCATCATCTTCCCCATCACGTGGTAGAGCTCAGGACCGCAGAAGCCCATCACCAAACCGCCATAATCAAACCCCAGGTCCATCAAACTCTGAGTGTTATTTCCACAAACGTTTTGGTCCTGCAGCCAACAATTGTCGCCCTCCTTGCAGTTTCCAGGGAAACGCCAGAGCCGACGGGAGGATAGTTCCACAAGATTCAACAGAATGAGATAGATACGGGGCATAGTACTGATAAACATCTACACGTGTGATATCGATATTGACTCTAGTTCTGAACCCTCTACTTTTTACCATGTATTTTAAAAAAAGTTTTTAGGTTTTTATTCTACGTATTTTTACGTATTTATTCGTTTTTTTTTCTTTAAAAATTGTATTTCTTTACAGTTTATAAGTTTGATGCAAACCTAAAAATACGTATATTTTCGGAAATTTCATACCAAGCAATTTTTCTAAGTTTTTATTCTACATATTTTTACGTAATTTTTCGTATTTTTCTTTACTTAATTTTTTTTTTAGAATTCATAAGTTTGATGCAAACCTTGAAAATACGTATATTTTTGCTAATTTCATACCAAAAGTTTTAGGTTTTATTTTACATATCTTTTACGTATTTTTCGGTTTTTTTCTTTGCTTAAATTTTTCTATTTTTTTTAAGAATTCAAAAGTTTGAGGCAAACCTAAAAATACGCATATTTTTGTAAATTTCATACCAAATATTTTTTCTAAGTTTTTAGGTTTTTATTTTACGTATTTTTGTGTATTTTTCGCTTTTTCGTTTTAAAAATTGTATTTTTTAGAGTATAGTTTGATGCAAACCTAAAAATATTTTTTCTTAATTTTCATACCAACTAATTTTTCTAAGTGTCAATATTCATGAAACCTCAACTGCACTAAAATGCATTTTTAAGTTAGAATATAAAAATATTTTATGATTTTTCAAGAGAATTATTATGTACGAAATTTAATGCAAACATTTTGGCAACATTGTGCCCCCCCCCCTAGAAAACCCCTTTTAAAAAAAATATTGATAACTTTTTTAACTATGTAAACTATTTCCATAAAACAAGTGTTAATAAATTATTCATGTAATTTTCTTAAGTGGACTCATCAGACACAATTCCTCTTAATACTGTGGTGTAAGCTTCAATAGGTGAAAAATAGAGATGAAAACGTTCCTTAAAAATATTTATATTTTCCTAGAAACGATACATATTGTATAATTATAAATAATGATTTTCCGAGATATATTTACAATAAAGGCATATTGATTAAAGCTTTGTTAATGAAACTTTTTAGTCAAGGGCAAAAGTGAGATTTTTATGTATTTTTTTTTATGGGTGCCCCCCGCCTTAGGGAGAGGGGGGCACGCGCAGGGGGAGGGGCATGGGGGGCCCGGCCGCCCCCCTTCGTAAGCCCCTGACAAAATGCATGTATGAAAGTTGATTTAGATAGATACAGATGAAGGAATGATGATGGTGTGAATCTGTGTAGAAAAGAAAACTATTGGATTATGAATTGAATTGAAAATAATTGATATCTATGAATATGGATTTACACTTCACATTTAGGTTTTAGAATTTGAATGTGCCTTAAAATACGTATTTTTACGAACAAATAAAACCTATTAATTCCAAAAATTAAGAAATATTAAAGATTTTTTCCAAACCTAAATCTACGTATAGGAAAAACCTAAAATACGTATTTATACGAATGTCCTACGTATTTATAGATTTTCCGGTTAGTATGGAGCTATTTTTTGGTTCTTCATTTGAACTATTTTTTTGGTTTATTTGTACTAATTTTTAATAGTTCAAAGGAGCACAGAATTTTATCGTTTCAATTATATCGTTACAACTGATGCACGTGATACCTGCAGCACTTGCAAGTTCAAACGACCAATGTTCAAATGTCAACGGTTCAAACGGCTGCAGTATGTTCAAACTATAAAGTAGCATCAATATGACGATTTAAAGCTTGAATTTAAGGTTTCTGCATTTAATTGAGTATTATGATGGTTACGATAGAAAAAAGCCTTTTTTGTCCTACAAGGATCTTGATGGACTTGATGTGCCGAATCAATTTTAAGGAAAAATACTGTTTTTTTTCTGTGTAAATGCATGGGCTTTGCCCCCTCCCCAGGCGCGCAACTAGGGGGGGGCAGGCCCCCCCTAGCCTGATTAAGGGGGGGCATGCCCCTCCCTTAAGAAATCTTGCCCCCCTCTGTAGGGGAGGGGAGGGGGGGAAGTCCATGCCCTGTTTTGCAATTTAGTGATTCATGAATCCTGACCCTGGGCAAATTTAAGAGCATCTTATCGTAAAATAAAAAAAAAAGATAATTGAACGTTAGTTTATTGAGCTTAGTTGCAATCGATATAGCACTTAATACACCATATACACACACACAGACCCCCTTCGTCTCCGAGCATAACTACTGCCGTAGATCAGATTCAGAACAGGTTGACAAGGTTCCAAGGTGCCTTAATCTTTGTTTTTTTTCATTATGCTGTTTTTCCCTGGGAAAGGGGGTTTATTAAGTATTTTTTAATATTTTAACTATCAGTTCTGCCACTTATT